ATAACGGCTGGTTTTTTACACCCGATGTCTACATATGGTGGGATTAAGATAAATAAATAAATATATATATATATATATATATATATATATATATAATCGAGTCCGAAATTGACGTACCCTATATATAAAATTAATAAATATAAATAAATAAATATTCAAATAAATATACGCAAAGAAAGGAGAGAACGAGAGGCGGAGAGATAGAGATTTGAAAAATTTTAATTGCTGCAAGCAGTTGCATTCCATAGATTGCGCTAAATTTGGTAGGCTCATATGAGTTGCGGATACCACAGCAGTCTTCCTCGAAACGGGGCTGCATTCCGATCGACGTCGTATTCTACAGGAATTTAAAATGTGGTTGAAACGGCCGGTGTTCGAAAAAAAACTACGTTCATATTTTAACAAGAACCATGCTGTAACAAATAGCGCGATTCCAGGAGAAACCTCTATGATTACGCGAACATTGTAAAATAGGAGTGAGGGAAACCATTAATACTAGCGTGTCTGCTAGTGTCTGCATAAAAGCACAAAATTTATTAATGGAATTTTAATATCTATCACGAATGGAACATAGTGTTATGGCAATGTTCACTCACGTACTCGCGGGCACTCGTGCGCACATGTCAACTAACTGCGTGCCCCATAGTTGCCTTCTAACTCTTATTTCAAGCGGCCTTACACGATTGAAAAAATTAAATATGTAGTATATATATATATATATACTAATGATTATTTGTATGAGGTTAATATAAATTTCAATTAAATCTAATTGCGAGCGATCGTATTGAAGATTTATTGCATAATTAGCGCATTTAACATTATGGGAGCCATAACTTCATATGTTCTTACCACAAAGCCTAACCTTAATATGGATTTATTTCTAAATCATAGCGCAAACAATATTATCATAGTCTGGACTTTATCCCTGGACTAGAAATTTACGTTCAAGCTATTAAGACGCGTGTAATTCTGTTATCCGAGTAAACCTCTGTCTGTGCGTGCTGTAATACTCAACTATGTATTTGAACTTGTTTGTCTGTGTTTTACCCACACACGTTATAGCTCGTCTGGTTATGCTTTACGTGTAGTTTACAGGGTTTTAGAGTTTAGCTGTATCAGTGGGCAGTGACATGGATTAGAGGTAAATCTCAATTGGAATTCAGACAAGACAGTCAGTCTCAGTTCGGTGCGTGCCCAAGTGTCATGGTTTGTGTACAGAGCATGCGGGTGTCAATTGATCTATCATTCCTCGCGTGGTTATTGTAAAATTGCACCCAGCCTATTTAGCGTTAACGGACTGCTTCTACACGGGCATTAGCCAGTTAGACTAAGTATGTGAGTTGACCTTGTTTTAGATTCTGCATATTCGGGCTGTACAATAATATTACCAATTCTGTTAATAATAGTATTTAATTTAATATACTATATATATAAATGTATAACATAATCACTTATAAAACTGTATACGTAAAGATAAATTTTGCAATATATTGCGTATTATCAACAAACTAAAAGAAATTAATCGTGTTGATATAACAATATAACAATATACAATTAAATTGAATTTTCACATGACGGGATTGATTTTCTGATCTACAATGTATAGATATGTAGGCGTTGCTGGTTTGAGAGAGAGACAGAGAGAGAGAGAGAGAGAGGGGGAGAGAGAGAGAGAGAGAGAGAGAGAGAGAGAGAGAGAGAGTGAAAGAGAGAGAGAGAGTAGATAATAAATATATTTACGTCTTGCTTCTTTCACTCATTTACCCATGTATATGGGAGTTAATTTTATGGAAGCAAGAACAAAATGATTCGCTGGCATAGGTTTGCCTGCAATTGCATAATCATTTAAGGATTTCTTTAATGTGCGATGATAAACACATATAATAAAATTAATATGCTGCAGCATTGAACTCATTTATGGTATTTGCTATCTGCAGTTAAATGCATGTATTATCCGACTATTACTCCGTTACACAAACATCAATTTAGTTTTTGTTATATCGCTTGAATTTATGCGGCAAGGAAAATCTATATGTGCCATCTTCGTAAATCCCAATTATTCTAGTAATTATATCATCTAGAGGAAACACGAATAAAGTGATGCATGGTATGTAACCGCGCCGGTGCGTATGTATTTATAGGCCTACTGAGTCACATAACACAACACACAAATTGCTCACCTTTTCTTAAAATGTTTCCAAACGTAGCTTTTCCGTGGTCTCCATCATATGTCGGGCAATTCCAACGTCGCTCTTTAAACTGATGTTTGCACTCGTTGATGGCTCGCTGTGTGCCTTTCGCTATTGCGACGAGGCTGCCCGCGTTTTTCCGCACTAGTCGACGTTGTCTCCTGTTGAACGGTTGCTGTCTAGCATCTAGGAACACCGGATCACCTTTAGCGTTGACCAGTACGTTGTTGCTAGGCGCTCCCGCGTTCACAACGCCCCTGTGGATGAGCCAACAATGGCGGGAGAACCCCATTTTATACTATTGGTCCTCTGCTTGTAATTGGGAATATTAAAGAAAAATAATCACGACGTATTTTGGTGAATTTAGGTTAGTATGATATGTTAGCACGCCATGCATTGCCCTTAACGCCAATTGATACACGTTTCATATTAATTTGTTGTACCCCTGCTTCAACATGAACGTTAATCTCATTGTGAGAATTCGCAGCTACCATGACAATTGCCCATCAAGTAGTGCTCACTTCATGTGTACAAATACAAAATTCAATTATTATAATATTATACAAACTATAATTGGTATCAATTAGCAACGTCAGTTAGCGAACATATATAGTTATAATACGAGCTAGATTGGGAGTCACTGAACTTCCAGTTGTTTAGGAAAGAGTGGTCAGCTATTACCTAGAGTGCAATTTTTACAAAGCGCCACACTATGATGAAAAACTGTACCAATAAAATTACTAGCATCTAAAATGAAAAAACCTTCCATTATTCGTCCCAATAAAATTTATGTTCATGGGGTAGAGGCTGATATAGATCATAAATGGTGCACATGTTTACCGCGTTCTACTAGCGAATTAAACGTGTTAGACTTGAAATAGGTGAAATCGAGATTGAAGTAGCCGTGACAGGTCATACGTGCCGTGACAGGCCACGATATGTGCACAACGTCGCAGATAGGGCATAGTTGAAACAGTTGCATAGAGTTTACGTTAAGAATTGCGCGTAATAGCATACTGACGGCTCAGCGGACAGCTGCATAAATCGCCAGCTAAAGTAGTTGTCGTGCCGACGCCGTGATACCGTATACCCGTCATTCATATTAGCGAGCAAATACCGGTATGTCTACCGACATCTCGTTTAACCGATGACACATTTGCGCCTGACAGAATCCTTCAGTAGACCGAGCAGATAATTGAAACTGGCAGCAACAAGCTCGAGAAGTTGGAGATGGTTTCAAGCAGAAAGTTAAGTGGCTTTTATTGCCAAGAATTACAGTACTCGGCCGCGTCGACTCCGCTCATGTGTAAGCAAATGCGGAGAAACAAGGTGGAAAATCGTAAAGTACATTTAAAGGCGAATAAAGAATGTTATTTTCTGAATACTTACCACCACTTGGATCCGCGGTGTCGTTTGGCGGTAACAACTGCCTGCGGCACGCAACACATCAGTAAAAGCACAAATATTGAGCTTAATTTAGCGTATAACATCTTCGAAAGCGTTCACTATATAAATGTGCAACTGCCGCGGACTGAGAGCTGGCAGTTCTCGGCGCGGTGTGAGACAGATGCACGCCGTATAACGCCCGGCTCTACTCTTCTAGACGAGGATGCGTTGGTTTGCGCCGTAACGCCTGCTTTCAATGTCTACGGCTCTCGAGCTCAGCTACAATAGTCAGCGCTGGCCTGTGTCAATCACACGGGGAAGTGTGGGATGGCTTGCTCAACTCGACTGAAGTGCGCTGCCTCCGTCCCTCTTACTTACTCATCAGGCAACCGTTGCGAAAACTGGATGATTAGGAGCAGATTTACCAACTCTATTCACAAACTTCGGTGCGTCGCTGATGTCAATTGGCAGGCCGACTGGCAGCGAGTTCCACAATGCACCTGTCTTCATTACGCCGCAATTATGAGGCGAAATCACATCGGTACGATATACTGTGTCTGCGACAATGTTTTCCCAAAAATTATTGCGCCCACCAAGAAGGCCTCTTAAAAACGTCGCGTCGATAGCGGCGAGGTAATGCCCGTACTAAAACCATTAGCACTGTGACTGTTAATTGGTAACTACATGTGAAAAGTGTTTGGAGGGAATTAGAACTACACGGCGGCTACGTCATTGGTCGCGCCACGTAGCAGAATCATCGGTGGGGAACAGACTGTTCTGACAGCATCCTCGCTCCCACGCGTTACGCTCCACTCCCGCACAATAGCTCACAATGAACGACAATGCGTGCAAATAAACTCGGTTTGTTTTTATTATTCCGTAACCAATGTCTCACTTTGCAACTTTATTGCCCCGCACGGAATGCCGCACAATTGCTGCTACTCGTAGCTCCATAGATCGCAGCGCGACACAATTAAACAAGATAATTGAGTCGCTTGGCGCGCGACAGTGTGCACCTTGGGACAAACCTCGCTTACGCGACGGTAAACAAAATGAATCGTCAGAGGTAATATAAACGGATAAACAACCCTATTAACAAGTAAATGATCAACTGAGAGCAAGGGACGTGTTTCCTGGGAAAGCCCGGCCCATAGTCATATAAAACGTATGCCGACAATGCTGACGGGAAACAGTTCTATGCGCTCTTTAGCTGGGTAGAGAATTGGAATAGAAATACTCTGAAGTGTTGCATAGAGAATGCTCTGTTTTATAGCGTTGTTACGACACTTGTAGGCGCCTGTAATTCATTACGCGTATTGGCCTTTACGAAGTGATGAGGCATGACACGGATCGGGCCAAACTACACGGCTATTTATATAAATATATAGACATCAATATATATTTATCCTAGACTATTCCTATCATCGCTCTTACACCATTTCCTTATCACACCCATAACACTTAGATTTGTCATGTCTTAATTTGTCATCATAAATTGATAATAGTTAGTGGTTGCGCTTTATTAGTCCGACTATACATACCAGAATCAGAGCACCGTTTTAATCCCGTCTTTAGCCAATGTGGAGTGTGAATTTTTATCGAGAAACAATATAATATATATATATATATATATATATATATAGATAGATAGATAGATAGATAGATAGAT